GCTCGGTAGTTTCGGCTGGGTGGTGTAGTTGGTGTGTCGCTGGCCTTCTACACCCAAAATTGAGGGTTCGACCCCGATCCATGTCGGTGGATTTTCATGATGCAGAAAATCTACAGCGTCCATGTCGTATGATTATGCGGTATGTAAAAAATCACTTGAGTCTCCGTTTGGCTTGGGTGCTCTCAGCAAAATTAAAAATTTTTAAGTACAATTTCGCCTCGTCAGAGCTCAGATGCCTCCCTCTGGTTAGAAAACTCAGCGTCAAAATTACTCGCGGCAATTGGTATCGACTATATGGTGCCGCACTAAAAAGTGATACTGACTCCTGGGGATACTAGGTCTGCAAAGGTAAAAATACCAATACACAGCCGCATTAGAGAAGAAGAAGTTTCAAAGTTCCATCTTAATAAACGACCAATAAATAATCAAAAGTCACTTTTATAAATATTATTTTTAAATTTTGCATCTTAATGGTTATAAAATATGCATGATTGTTGTGATGGTTACTTTTTAAAACATATACAATAAAAAAATATATTTCTCCTCATAATTTAAAGCAGTTTTTCGATTATACATTTAGGTAACTTGTTAACTTTGATTACTACTCTCGAATTCCGGATATTATCTCTATGATTCATTTCAGAGTTTTTAGATTAATCCATAAAAAATAAGCTGGATGAAAAGTCGAAAAGAAACTATATTGGGATTCAATAAATGTAATAATAAAAATTGAAATATAAAAATTGAATTTAAAATTTTTTAATAAATATTGAAATATGTATTAAAAATTGACTCTTGAGTATCATATTATGCATCGAACTAGCTCTATATATATTATACAATATTTTCCAATTAAAAGTTTGATGATTACAAAGATTTCTATTTTTAGCACGCTTTTATTAGCTTCACCTGTATGTAACGGAATCTTTGAACCCACTTTAAAAAGTCAGATTAATTTTTGAAATTTTGCACACTTATCAAAGACCGATGACAATACAATAATTTAATAATTTTGTTCCAGTGTCCTCGTCAGGATAATCAGGATTAACGATTTCTCATTTTCAGATTTGGCAATTAATTCCAAATCCCATTTCCAGAATTGGCGAGTAAAAAATTAAGTTACAATCCTAAAAAGAAAACGCTCGAGGTTAATACAAATTCAACAAATAAAATAAGTGTCTACAAAACTTTTTTTTTAAAAAAAACAAGCTTTTATTGTAGATTGAACTAAAAAATCAAAAGAGTGTGTAAATTATAGTTTAAAAAAACTAAAAAAAAACACACTTTTACAGGTAATCGAAATGAAAAGTAAAAAATAATTCTTAATATAAGAATAAAATCACTAACGAGAAAATGAATACCATTGTCGTAAAAACGTGGGGTCCTTGATTTTCCAATTTTGTTATAATTTCTAACTAGTTCTATTCCGAAATGCTGAGTTAGTGTAAAAGTGTAGTACAAAGCACCCCATCTTTTACCACGATGACATTCATTTTCTCGTTATTCATTTTATTCTTATATTAAAAATTATTTTTTACTTTTCATTTCGATTAACTATAAAAGCGTGTGTTTTTTTAGTTTTTTTAAACTGTAATTTATTTTTTTAAAAGAATCTTTTTCTGTCAACACATTATTTGAGAAACCAATTCGTAAAATCCCTCACGCAAATACCAATAGCAATGCAATATAACGCGGTGTTACAGCGAAAATACATTCCCAACAACGCATGATCCCCATATAAAAAAATACGATTCCCGTACAGTACCCAATAAAGAAGTTCCAGGACCATGATGTACTTTCAGATAAAAACAAATTCTTTTCTGTATGATAATGAAGGGGTTTTCCCAGGAGAATGAAACTTTTTCCAGATCCGGATTTTGTTACACATGTACAGAATTTAATTTAAGAGGAACTCTCGTCTTTCTTCTTTTCATGTAGATAGGAAGAAAATAAATAGAAAGAAAGGAAGCGATATGAATACACAGAAAAATATCGATAACCTGCTATTGGACTGAATTGCAATAACTGAAACAGCGAAAATCTATAACGCCATCTTTTATTTTAAAGCATCTCTTTCAGTCAACATTGTGTAACATGTACATAAAAATTTCAAAATTAAAAATGGTTATTATTTGTATCTTGAATTGAGAATTTTTTTTTTTTTTTTTAATTATAAGACTAAGCCATTCAGTATAGACTTTTTATAAAAATGAATGGTTTTATTTTTTTTGCTTAAGGTATCCGACTACGTTCGGAAAAGTGATTTTAAAAAAGCGCATAAATGGATAATTTTCATGATATTTAGTGTCACTTAGATTAGAATACATGTATAAAATTGTTTTAAGGACATTATGACAAAAAAAATTATTTAAATACAATATTTCGGCAAAAAGTAAACTTAGAATAACCTTTTTTCGAAATGTTCTCCTTTCGTGAAAAATGCTTCTATTATAATAACATTTTGCCATAGCTCAGACCTCTGTACAGAGGCTCAACTATGAGTTTTGAAATATATAACTTAGATGTGGGTTTATCCCCATTTGAAGTACACACGTCTGAACTCTTTTTTAATTGTCTTGCCCTTTTTTGTTGTAAAACATTGATAAACCCACTTCTAAGTTATATATTTCAAAAATTCTAGTTGAGCCTCTGTACAGAGGTCTGAGCTATATACAGGCAAAATATTATTATAATAGACGCATTTTTCACAACAGGAGAACATTTTGAAAATAGATCATTCTATGTTCATTTTTTGTTAAAATATGGTACTTAAATAATTTTTTATTGTAATACTATTCTTAAAACAATTTTTTATACATTTTCTAATCTAAGTGACACTAAATATCATAAATATTATCCATTTATACGCTTTTGCAAAATCATGGTTCCGTACGTAGTCGGATACCTTAAGTCCTTATGCTATGAAGAATATGTCATATATCTTAAGACAATTTCTCTCATGCAAAATTTCCTGTTCATACCTCTTTTTCAAACGGTTAAGAATTTCTGTTTGGGCATACATTTATACACAGAAATTTTGAAGCATGGAGTAATACTAAGTCTTACACTGCAATGGGTACTGAGATAATATCCAGTGCCGGTGTATCCATTGCGAACTTGGGGCTAGGATAAGCTGAGATTAACCAGATTCTCTGTTAATAAATCTCAATCCGACAGTGCCAAGGGGACCTGTAGATCTTCTGATCCTAGGACCCGAAATGAGCTTAAATCGACACTGATAGTATCATCCTTTTTCGATTATCTTTCCATTTCCATTTCTTCTCAAGTAACAAATTGCACATGGCCTTACCAATCTCTGTGTGTTCTTTATCGAGTACTTAATCCAATCTAAATTCCTGCCTTCCATGCAAAGTTCACGCCTTCACAACAAAGAAAATCTTGGATGAGAAATATCACACAATACCACGGACAAATTGCATCTCTAAAAACACTAGCACTAATAATCTCTCTCTCTCTCACTATAAGACTTAGTAAGTACAAATCACAAAGATAGAAAGAAGAAAACATCAGTGCCCTTACAGCGTACGGGTAAACCCCTTGTGGCCAGTTTTCGGTAGCCCGTATAGTGTACAGGCAAACCAGTTAAGGTGTTAAAAACTGCCCTTTCTTAACGATGTAAGCATAACCAAACACGACTCATTCAATAAATAACACTTCAAATTTTAATCCCTTCATTATTCTCTTGATGCACATCCTACTTTCTGATTTTATAAAGATCCACTGAATCTATCAATTTATTTCTACGAGGGACGTTCCAAAAGTAAGTTTCGTCATCTTTTTTTTTTAAAAAAATAATAATATAGTACTACAGGTGAAGCAATCCTCATAAAAAACTGCATTCAATGCGGGTTAAATGATGGAAGAGGCATCATTTTCGGAAGAATGACGCATGCGCAGAGCACAGTAGAAGAGAGAGAAACAACAGAAAGGCGTGCCCGAGGTAATTGGAGTACAAATCACGATAGCAGATACATGTGGTTGCCAATGGAATGCCGCTATGAATTGACACGTGGGACTAGTACAGTGCATTTCAAACTATCAATATTGGTGACCCAATATTCAATCATAATTTTCATCATGCCTCCCTCCATGCAATAACAATGTATTGGATTCAATAATATTATACTTTGGCGCTAAAGCTAAAATTCGAATTTAATCTATTAAGTGCTGACAGCGTATATAAGCGTCTCACTCAACCAAAGCGTTAATTGCTCCGGACATATATATATATGTCTTTCCGAAGTACGATCTTATCTGTGCCCTGCTATTCATAAAATTATTCCGTAGGCTTTGTAAAAACAAAAGGACCTTAACAGTATTTGAGAAGGATCTACTTATTTCAGAGGATTTGCTTATTTATGCCTTTTCTTCCGCCCCCATACATTGTATACGCGTACCTACGTGAAAAACGATGGCACTGGGGAGCGAATAGCATAACTATTAATCAGCAGTTAAGAGATTAATTATAAACCGTACAAATTATCATGATAAAGGTTAATTTTTGTGTATATATATATATATATGTGTGTGTGTGTGTATATTAATATATGACAAGGCCATGGAGCCACTGGCAATTATTAAACTTAAGTGCTTAACTTAGTATTGTTAAATTAATTATAAAATTCATTGTGCAGTATTGATATACTTATAAGTGTATCATATCAGTGTAAATGTGTATATTTTATTTTTCATTGTGTCAGAATGTATTAGTCAGAATGTATAGTCAATTCCTACTTAGGTCAACTCGGAAAATTTTATTTTAGTTACTTTTTATTAAATAGTTATAATTAATATAAATATGTATGTACATAGGACAGAATCACAATATCAAGTGACAAAATAGAAAGCGATTTTCCGCGAAATTTTCCTTTCTGTATATGGACAGTTTTTGTTTGTTTGTTACAATTTGTTCGTTAATTAATTAAAATTAATAAAATAGTACAGTAACACAAAAGAAATCACATTCTCAGAAACGATATCATCCCAATCGGGATTCGAACCCATGACCTTTGGATTAGAAGTCCAACACTCTGTCCATTGCGCTACAGGGACACAACGAACGATTTTTCTATCTATATATACTGTTGGAAAATTATTTTTTTTTATTACTATGTATTAATTTTTTAATTTAATTAATGAATTAATTTTTGAAATTGCGAATAGAAAGTATTTAATTAATGATTGAAAATTTGAACAAGATATATATATATATATATAGTAATTTAAAATAAAAGTGAAGAAGTACTAGAACCTACAGTGCTAAAGCAGGAAGAAATTGGAATTCACCAGACACAACAAATATAGATACAAAAAAAGTCTTTGGACTAAACTGGAGACCTATTATGATTTCTAAAGCTGTCGCTGAATTAGGCCAGTGAATTAGGGTTAGCAATGCTTTATGGATCCACCTTCCCCGTACAGCAGAAACTTTTGACATAATAGGGAAAAAAAACCAAGTTGAAAAGTTAAGCCTAATACAACACGTGGAAGTAAAACTGCTAATATATTAAAATGAAGCTAAGAAAAGAGAACAATAATGAATGTCTCAAAGAGAGGAATAATAATAATAAAATTAAAAAAAAACACTTACGTGTAAAATAATTAGTGGAGATCGAAAATTATATATATAGTGAGAGAATAAACTAATAGCAGGAATTAAAAAATGCTTTAAAGTTTGGCAGTACTTAAATAGGGTGCTGAATTAGGTGTCGACTTTGCCATTATACATTTCATAATACGAAGCATGTTGGTTATATTAAGCGGACACTTAAGCAGGACAAAGATAGGCATAATTGGAAATATTCAACAAACAAACATACCCCTCCTGTTAATGTTTGTTTTACTATGTTACTTACTAACTGATTTAATTGAAAATGTTTTTTTATTCAATAAACAATTTATCCTCGAAATATACTTGCTGTATTATCGATTTCTATCTTCCCTCCTCTTAAATTTTAGGATAACTGTCTTCGAAATATGCCTATGAACACCACATGTTTTTCCAATAGCAGGGGAAAAAATATTTTTATGATTTTACAATAAAACGTCTTTATACTCTATTTGTAAGAATTTGCTCCTATTGTTAGGAATTATACATACTTTTTTCCCTCTTAATCACTCTAAAAGGTTATAACATTATTTAAATTCTTTAAGAAGAGTAAAAATGAAAGGCAAAACATTTAGCTTTGAAGTATATATGCATTGAGCTAAATATACGTTTAGCTATGGAGTTTTTCCCTGCAGGTGAAACTTATCGGATAGTGTAAAAATGACAGTAATGATAAAATCATATCTTCATGTTTTATTCAGTTACATCTGTGACTCAAACAGAATGATATTCGAGGAAATGTTCTTTATAACATTTACATGAAATGTATGGAAAAATCGGTTATTCTTTAGATTGTTTTTGGTAGTTTTTCCCTTTCGTTGTGGAACTCAGCTACTAGTAATGTAAACAAAGAAGCAAAGAAAATGCTATCTACTTTTTGTTCATACATGTGTGTACGAATACACAAACACATAAAAATGAAAATGATAATATAGTCGTTAATTTATGTCATATTTTATATGCATTGATGACTTGAATTTTTTTAGTGCTGACTTAGATTGTGAAGCCCCCTCCCGTGGGGACCTCATTTCAACATTATCTACGCGACCTGTTTCTGTGGGGAAGAACGAAGGACCATTCAAATCATTCATTTCTAAAACCTGTTTATTAAAGTCTTAGCTTAAACACAATATGCAACAATAATAATTAAGTAAATTGATCTAGAAAGAGAAGATGCAACACGTATTACCAAATAGTCACGTATTTGACCACTGAATATAACTTTATAGATAAATTTCTCTATCACTAATATACGCCTTTCCTTATAGCTTGTATAAAACTGCTTACCGCTATATCTTAGATAATCAGCTACGTTTTGTATCTGTTTAGATGTGGCTTTAATCCGACAGTATTCCTTATGGCCTCGAACCCACCTTTGGTTCGGCTGTACCGGCACGGCTAGGCTATTTCACGGAGTTAAGCTTCTTCTAACTTTATCTCAAATCACTTTACAGCTAACTCTCCACTTAGCGACTTCACTTCCCACTTAACAATAACTTCCGCGCATAGACATAGACCCGGACATAGACTCCGCTCTACTGCTAACTTCCAATATATATATGATTCCTAATTTACATAACCAAGTTCTTCTTCTTGAGTTGGTTGGAAAGAATTGCCATTTCGGCCCCAAAGAAACCCCAAGAGGACATTAATAGAAATCGCGATGAAAGCCCCGTTACAAAATGACATCCTTTAATTTTAATTTTTATCCAGATATTATGTAGATACAATACAAAGTAATCTTGACGAAAGTAACGCAGATTTTTTTGGATTTGGAATTAAAAATTGATAATATTTTTTTTTAAAAAAAAGTTCTTTTTTACCTTTCGAATAGGGCTGAGGATTGGTAATTACCATTGAAGACCTAATATATTCTCCGGGAGCTGGTGTCACTTTTTAGTGCGTTGCCATATAGGTGGATACTAATTGTAACTATGTAATTTTGACTTCCAAATTCCTCTTCAATAGGAGGCTCCTGAGCTCTGACGTTGCGAAATTCTTAATTTTGATTAGAGCACCCAAGCCGAACAGGCACTCAAGAGTTCTATAACTTTCCACACAATCATACGACATGGACGCTGTCGATTTCTAGTATCAGGAAAATCCACTGACTTGGGCAGGGGTCGAACCCGCAAACTTGGGCGTACAAGGCTAAGAAGACAGAAGGTAAGTCTACATTCCGTGTAAATCTTATCGATAAATTGTTTTCCCTTAAATAGTTATAGCCGTTTGTAATCGCTATATTCATTTTGACTTACCCTATATATTACTTTATTGAATTTTATCCGATTTCAATAACTGAATATTATTCACGGTTTTTCTCTAAGTATCTAATTTTTTTTTCTTACAAAGCAATTTATTCACATAAATTTTGTTGAATAGAACATTCCAGATTATATTCAATTCAGGTATATATTTAATTTAAGCAAAAATTTCTGCAGAATTTCTTTTAAAATTAGCATCTTACCGTTTGTAAATGAATTGTCCTTGTATTATTTTTTTTCAGATATTTATTGATACCAGTTTTTTTTAAAAAAAATTAAAGAAATAATAAGCCAGTAATTTTTTAAACTAAAATACGCAGTCAAATTATAAAAATCTGAAAATCAATTATGATGTAATTCCATTTTAATACTCTCAAACAACTAAAGAAAGTACTTTAAAGATAAATTTCATATCTAAATGCATTTTATCTTGAGAACACAAAACAAAATGACTCTTTCTCCTCTCCCTTGTTTACATTTCTCAAACAATGACCTCAAAAGAAGTTTGAAATAATAGAGCCTTTTACAAGTATTTCGTTTAAAACTGGTAAGCAAGTGTTCTTCCTTTTTTATCAAGGAAATGAACTGACAGTCGTTAACTCAGTACTAATTCTTTTGTTTCAAGTTTAAGTTTACTGTGTAAGTTAGATTTGTAATGGGAACACTTTGTTTACTTGGCAGGCGGATGATTCTTTTCAAATATGCCTAATTTCCTTCCGGAATGTTTTAAGGGAAGTATATGCGAGGGAAGTTTATAAACGAAACAAGTTTTACTGAGCAAATTGTTGTTTAAATGCTTAAAGAGTGAGACTAAATCAAAAAGGCTTGTTTCTTAAGACAAGAAATAAATGTGAAAAACTAAATATCAAAAGTAAGTTTCTCAAGAAGTTATGAATATAGATTTGTGTGATTTTGTTTTTACAAGGATACCAAATATTTTCAAAAGTTTCAAGTCAAAAATTTCTGGAACTTTTGAAGTTCAAGTAAGGGATTCGGCTTATACCGTTTTTCAATTGGAACGTGAAACCGATTTTAATCTTTTACCTCTCTGGGTGTTTTAATTGGATTTTTTATCTCCCTTTTTCTTCTTCTATTGACACAAAAGTACCGGGGAGGGAGATAAGACCTTCTCAAGAACCCTCTTCCATTCCAATATCCGCTTAACAACTGTTGGTACCTTGTACACTTCCGCTATTGTAGCGCCCCCAACAACTTATTACTTTCATGACTTTACTCATACCGAGCGGACGTACCATCCCAGTCATCCAGACGTAAGAAAATGTTCTATTATCATATTAAGTGCCTCTTTGTCTAATTTTAATTTGATTCTAAAATTTGTAGATTCATTGTTATTACTATTTACCTATGTTGATCAAAATAAACCTTTGTTCGTTTTGGATTAAAGTTTTCTTTCTCTTAAAGTTTTCGAACACATATCGTAGACGAATTTCTCTTCCCGTTTATTTTCGAAAAAAAATATAATTAGCTCAAATAGTGCATAAGGTACTAAATGAACGAAAAAATCTATCCGAAAAAGTACATGGTGGCCCAGAATTCATGGTGCAAAGGTTAAGGGTTTGTACATGACATTATAACAATCATTTATTGTACAAGAATCCATGGGCGCAAACACAAAAAATAAGAGACGAAAGGAAAGACAAAGTGTTTATTGAAAGTGTCATTGACAAATGTGATGTTTACAATAACTGTTCAGCAAATGAGTTATGAAGTCCAGCTGCAGCGCACATTGTTGTACCACCTATTGGCAACCGGAAAAAATAGTCTGCCAGGTTCAAAGCTTATACTTGCTGAATATGTGTGTAAGCGATTTTCGTTTAACACTCTACAAATGGTCTGGTGACTCACACTTGTACTTGTCTCGGGTCTATCAGCCACAACGTTCAAGATGCTTTCTTTCTTCTAGACTTCGTTGATCAGCCTCATGTGACGTGGAACGAACGTGTTTTACGAAGTTGACGATGTAAACGCTGAAAACTTCTTTGATCCGGCCTTCGTCGATCAGGAAACTGCGCATGATACATTCGTAACGCAGCTCTACCATTACCATTTGCATAGCTGTACATGTGATGCTTGTCTGCATTTTCGGCATACGTATAAAATCTCCCATCGTAGACGACAGTACAATTGCGAATAGCACTTTCCCCTACTGAGATTCATCA